CAGCAGCACTCCAGCTGCTCTTGGGGACGCCTGGGACAGAGCAGCTGGGGTACTGCCCGGTTGGTCCTGCAGGGCTGCTCCTGGGCACTGCGGGGCCAACCCGGCAGCACTCCAGCTGCTCTGCCCCCGGTGTCCCCAAGTCAGCAGCTGCTGAAACAGGCTTCCTGGAGTCAGCTGCTGATCAGTTTCAGCAGCGGCTGAATCCAGGTCACCTGGGGCAGAGCAGCTCTGCCCTGGGCTTCCTGGAATCAGCTGCTGGTCAGTTTCAGCAGCAGCTGAATCCGAGACCCCTGGGACAGCGCAGCCGGATTGGTCCCGCAGCCCCGAAGGGCAGCACTACGGGACCAACCCGGCGGCGCCCCAGCTGTTCTGCCTCCGGCTTTCCCTATTCAGCTGCTGGTCAGTTTCAGCAGCAGCTGAATCCGAGACCCCTGGGACAGAGCAGCCGGATTGGTCCCGCAGCCCCGAAGGGCAGCACTACGGGACCAAACTGGCAGCGCCCCAGCTGTTCTGCCTCCGGCTTTCCCTATTCAGCTGCTGGTCAGTTTCATCAGCAGCTGAATTGGGGAAGCCGGGTGCAGAGCAGCTCCAATTGTCCGGCAGCCAGAGCACTTCCGGGTTCCTGATAGTGCCGGATCATCAGGCGGGCCGGAGCATTGGATGCTGGACTAATGGAGTTTCACTGTACATTTAAAATGCAGAGGTGCAGCGGGAGTAGTTCCTAGAGCTGGCTCGAGCCAGGACTGAGCAGTTCTGGCCCGTGCTGGAGCCAGGAGCCACGGCTGTGGCTCTGCATTTTAAATGTAGTAAGAGGCGCTGGGCTCTTACTATATTTAAAATGCAGAGGTGCAGCGGGAGTAGTTCCTAGAGCTGGCTCGAGCCAGGACTGAGCAGTTCTGGCCCGTGCTGGAGCCAGGAGCCACGGCTGTGGCTCTGCATTTTAAATGTAGTAAGAGGCGCTGGGCTCTTACTATATTTAAAATGAAGAGTTGCAGCATCCTGGACCAGCACGAGACAGGACTACTAGGTCCTGGATCGCACTGAGTCCAGCAGCCCCGGTTCACAGCAGCCGGGGCAGGCCTGGAGCAGCCCGTGGCTGAAGCCAGCCCAGGACGCCACTAACAGGGGCTGCTTGGTGGTAGCAGCCAGTGTGCACGAGGGCAGGGGTTGGGGGCAGTTCCCTGCTGGGGCCCCATAGACATGGGCTGTTGCTGCTGGAGCAGCCTCCCGTATCCCTTTCCCCTTCCCCCACTGCCTCTGATAGAGGTGCAGGCAGCACTGGCTCCTGTTCTTCTCTATAAGAGGCAGCAAGGGAAGGGAGAAGCGACTAGTCAATACTCCAGTTTATACTTGCTGACATCCCTAGTTAGGACCAAAGTTGGAGGCCTCCTGAACCCTACCATCCTTGGGAGTGGGATAATGGTGGATAGTGAAGCCCAAGGCTTTCATCTCCATGTTGGGGCCTGGAAACGTTGCCCTGCTGCCTACATGATGGGCATCAGGCTTTGGCTCCAGCCAATCCAAAACCAGACCAGATGACCCCATTAAAATGGGGTCCTGACCCACAGTTTGAGAATTGCTGCTTTAGTTGCAGTAGTTTACAAACTGGTCCATATATCACTGATGGTCTGCAGAAACCTGGATGGTCATGTGCTGCTGTCCTTGTTACCATCTGCTAAATTAAAGACTGCTAAAATACTTTAACCATTTGCTTATAAACCCTATAGGGCTGTTAAAAATGTGAATGGAAAGCAAGATAGGTTGATTTTAAATAATACATTTTAATCATGGTTGAAATCAGCAAGAGGGAAACCTTGACTTAAATAATGTATTGTAGTTGTGTGTTTCATTTGCACTTTTTTTTGTTTTTATAAAGACTGGTTGATTCTCATTGGCTGGTCATATTAAAACATTTTATTTGCAACCAAACATAACCTTTACACTAAACTTAATTTTTTTTTGGCTGACCAGGAAGATAGTGTGTCTGTCTACACTTATTTTTAAGTAGTTATATAGTTCAACATGTATTCAGATTCTTGTTGCTCACATTTTTACTATGTTAGAAAATGATGAATGACTCACTTACTAGATTAGTGTTTTACTTTTGATTTGTATCAAGCTGTTTGCAAATTGAAATTCTTTTAAAGTGCACTAGAACAAAATTTTAAAAATGTGTTTTCAATAATCACTTTAAATGTGCTCGATACTAGGGACATTAGATATCATGTAATTTAATAGTTTTGTAACCACATGAAATCTTAGTGGTTACCCGACTATTTGATAGTAGCCTGGGGTGGGGCCAGCACTCTGGGAGAGCTCCCTGCCAACCCTGATACAGAGGCAGCAGTGTAGGGTGGTAGGGGGAGCAAGTTAAAAAAACAGCTCCCCTTGCAGACTGGCTGCCTGCTGCCCCACGCTGCTGCCTCTAATACAGAGGGAGCAGGGGGGGGGGACAGAAACCTCCCTCGGGCTCAGCTCCCTGTGGACAGGGGCTGCTGCCGTGGACCAGCTTCTGTCTGTGGCGAACCTCCTCTCTTTCTTGCACTGCTGCCTCTGATGGAGGTAGCAGCGCAGGAGGTGGGAGCAGAAAGGTGGAACCGTGGAGCTGGGGGGAACTGGCTTTTAAGGCAGCTCCCTCCCCCAGCATCGGCTCTTGCCTGCCCCACCCCACTGCTTCTGTAGGAGGCAGCAAGGTGGGGGACCAGGCGGGTCCACGGAGCCAGCACACGCAAGGAACATGCTCC